TTTCATGCCCGGAGGTTTGAGATACACAGTCTTCAATATTTGGTTCTAAAACCTATTTTTCTTTTATTGGTTGAGTCCTACATTATTTTTCATATTGTCTAGTTCCCTGGGCCGTGAGGCAGTTTAACAAGGACACAACGCTATCAGAGTGGCATCCAGGTTTACCTGGCGGCCCTTGCTGAAATGGAAGGTGCGGCTGGTTACACGGAAATCACCAGTTTCTAGAAGGCACCGCAGCTATTTCAGCTCAAAAAAGATTCCACTCCTTACGGCCAAATACTAGCGTATTAAATGTTCTGCATACAGAGCCCGTCAGCGAGCAACACGCTTTCACCAGGCGTGAACCGTCACGGTTCTGCAAGCGGACTTCACCCCAACCACCTGCCAGGCATTTTCTCTTTTGTTTTATTACTTATTCGCGCACGTTGTCGTCATCATCAATTTTTTTGAGAAACACCAATGATGAGAGTCACTCTCGGCCGCCCCCTGCGCGGCCCCCACGGGACGGAGCCCGCAGCCCGGGCTGTGCCCTGACCGGGAACGAGCCGCGGTCTCCGGGTGGCGGTCGATGCCCACCCCGAGGCCCGCGCGGGCGTCGTCATCAGTTTAAAGCAGCGCTTTCTCTGGTCTCTGCAGCCATATTTAACCAAAGAGACAATGACAGTATTAAAAGTCTCAAGGTAATACGATCAGCAGCCAGGAGAGGATTAATTACTTACAGACACAAATTCTTCAAAACTGATTTTGCCGTCTTTGTTGTTGTCAGCAACTGCTAGAATTTTCTCCACGATCTCGCGCACTTTGTAGCCAGGCAGAGGGAGGCTTGCTTCCTTAAACAGGTCCTGGAGCTCGTAGTCGCTGACATACCCGCTGTTGTCGATGTCTGAGAGACACATTGAGAGCTGTCAATGCCAGCTTCCCCGGCTGCGGGGCGCTCAGAGGGCTGCTGGGCGGATTCCCAGGCAGGCAGACCTTTCCGTGTGTTTCACAAGAGGCAGTGCTCTTCTCCTGCACCCGAACTGTACGAGGTATTCTATACACTTTATAAAAAACTCCTATTTAAGTGGATCTTTCCCCCTGGGTTTAGGACTACCGTGCACACTTTAAGGGCATAGTACAAACACTGCCCCAACAGATGAAAACTCAGGTTTAGCACATGACTAAGCTTCAAAGAACTGACTAAGTATTGGGAAGTCTCAGATACCTAGAAGAAATACAGCATCAATGGTCAGGAAGGAACACCCGCCAGCATTTAACTTCTTCACGGAATTTACAGAAGGGGTCCGTGGGACCCACACTTCACATAAACGATGTATGTGTAAAATACACATACAGCATTTCTGGCCTACATGTCACTTAGTGGAGTTCTGTTTCAGGTGTTAATAATTCACTACTTCTTCATAATGTATTGATGATACCACTACGTGGGCTGAATCACGTTGGATGCTATTTTGAGTTTAAGTGTTCAAGAAATAACTTCACACCTACTTAGACTTTTGGAAGTAGGTTCCCTGGCATTTTCATGTCATCACTGAGATGCCCTCCCCTAGGTTTTCCCTAGAGACTGCATGTCACTTGTTGACACACAACAAAAGTGACACAAAACACTTCTGCCCAGAGTTGGCAACAAAACTCGAGTGTTTGGTTGGTTGCCTGGATCTACCTTGTGTGGGCTCTCATGGCTCATTTGGTAGCAGTGGCTTTGGTTCATATATTTCTTTTTCCTCTTAGTAAAAGATCTTCCCTCATTATACCTGAATTAATGATAAAGACGGAAACTTTTAAAGTCTCATGCACAAGTTTTAGAATTAATGCTGTTCAGAGCAATGAAAAATTTCTAAACTAGTATCTACCAATAACCAAAATATTGCTGTATCTCAGAAGTCAATTAGCAAGCTAAATTACTGCTTGATACTGCAATAATTAATACTGCTTTCTCTGAATTCAGACCAAAATTCATTATTTAGTATATCCTCGGCTCAGAATTGTTTCCTACAATTCTGAAATGGAAAAACAGACGAGGCTGGCTTACATCTATACCAGCACTGTGGTGGGGAGTATTTTAAAATAAACAAGAGCCCTGGCCAGGTGGCTCAGTTGGCTGGAGCACTGTCCCATCCACCAAAAGGTTGCAGGGCATATATTTAGGTTGTGGGTTCAGTCCCCAGTCAGGGCATGTGCAGGAGGCAACCGACTGATGTTTCTCTCTGTGTCTGTCTCTGTCTCTCTCTTTCTCTCTCTCTTTCAAAATCAATAAACATATCCTCCGGTGAGGGTTAAAATAAATAAATAAAATATTGAAAAATATAAACAGGATTCAGGAAAAGTTATTTGCCCACTAACCATCATGCTAAACTAACAAGAACAGTTAAAAGTTAGGGATCTAAAGACAGAAAGATGTGTGTGCTTAAATCCCAGCTCCATCCCTATGACCTCTGTGGTTTGGGTGTGTTGTGACAAGAAAAATAGATACCTTTTTATAAGCATATATTCTGTGCCAAGATTTGTTAAGACCTTGACTTACCTTATTTCATGAAATCCTTACAACCCTGAGTTAGTTATACTAATCTAATTTTAAAAATGAGGAAATCAAGGCTTAGATTAAATAACCATGAAGATCACATTTTCAGAAAAAACAAGACTTCCCGACAACTCAAAAACAACAAAAAACAACCGACCTTATTTTAAAATGGGCAAAGATACAGAGATATAAAGTACAGCACACGGAATATAGCCAAGAATACTGTAAGAACTATGTATGGTGTCAGGTGGTGCTGGAAATATTGAGGGGAACACTTTGTAAAGTACATGACTGTCTAATCCTATGCTGTACATCTGAAACTAACACAAAATAATAATGAATATAAACTGTAATTAAAAATAAATTTTAAAAAATTAAAATTTTAAAAAATGGGCAAAAGACTTAAACAGACATTACTCTCAAGAAGATACACAAACAGCCAATAAGCACATGAAAAGATGCTCAACATCACTAATTATTATGGAAATGCAAATCAAAACCACAATGAGATACCCCTTCACACTCATGAGGATGGCTATTAAAAACAGAACAGAAAAGAACGGTGTTGGCAGGGATTTGAAGAAATTGGAAGCCTAGTTCATTGCTGGTGGGAATATAAAATAGTGCAGGCACCATGGAAAACAGTATAGTGATTCCTCACAAAATTCAAGAAAAGCCCATCCAGGGTGGCTCAGCGGTGGAGCATTGACCTAGGATCCCGGAGATCGGGGTTCGATTCCCGGTCAGGGCACATGCCTGGGTTGAGGGCTCCATCCCCAGTTGGGGGCGTGCAGGAGGCAGCCGATCAGTGACTCTCTCATCATTGATGTTTCTCTCTCTCTCTCTCCCTCCCTCCCTCTTTCTCTCTCTCCCTCCCTCCCTGCCACCCTCCCTCCCTCTTTCTCTCCTCTCTCCCTCCCTCCCTCCTTCCCTCTTTCTCTCTCTCTCTAAAAGAAAAAATTAAGGAAATTCTGACACATGCTATGACATAGATCAACCTTGAAGACATTATGCTAAGTGAAATAAGCCAGTCACAAAAAAAATATTCTATGACTGCACTTGTATTAGGTACCTACAGTGGCCAAGTTCATACAGACAGACGGTAGAACGGCAGTAGTCCTAGCGGGGCTGGGGCGATGAGAGTCAGTGCTTAATGGGTTTAGTGACAGTGTGGGAAGATGTGCTCTAGAGATTGATGGTGGTGATGACTGCATAATGTGAATGTCCTTACCACCACCGGGTGGCAAATTCTCAGATTATTTTACCACAATTAAAAAAATAAGACAGAAGTATTTTAATCCCCCACTTCTCCCTAGAGACCCCAAAACATCCCATCTAGTTCAGTTGGACAGCCTCTGAGAAAAGTTTGTTGGTACAACAAATAAACAGAGGGATTACTGAGTTTACAAGTAGCAATTTACCTTGTAAGTAAAATAAGCAAGTATATATTCTGCTACTGTTAGCACTTCTCTCACACAAAGCAAGTTATCTTGCTGTCAGAATTGTTCCATCAATGAATTATTTATTTTAAATATCACTAAGTACTACAGGATTATATGTCCACGAGTCATAAAGATTAAAGTGGGCATGCTAAACAAAGAAAATAGATTATGAATTCATTTATTTTACTAAGACCTAAGCAGCATTTTTCTTCAAGCTACTAAACTGCACCTATAAAATCACAGAAATGCCAAACTAAAGCGATACATTTTTATTACTTCCTCTATTTCAATGCTCAAAATGAGCAGAATATTCCAACAATTGCCTACTTTCTGTCTTGAAAAGACTCTGGGCACTGCATACAAAACCCTATAATATTTATTTTTAACAATGATGTTTTAGAAATCATACCATACTCATACAATGCCCTAATGACAACTACATGGTGCCCAAAACAAAGACAAGGCCAAGGTTAAGGCGTGCCCTGTGGGCCTCGTCCAGCCACCTTGCAGACTGGATTCTGAAAGTCTGAGTTACCCTGGAGACGGCTATCCGGGGCGCAGAGGAGGGGCCCAGAGAGCTGTCGAGCTCGCTTTATTTCAGAGCAATGATTCGTAAGTCATAAACTTCCTGAGAGCTTGACTTTTTTTTTAAGAGCTTTTTTTTTTTAACCTTACATCATTTTTTTTGTATTGGGCTCCAAAACTCGTCCTGCACTGCATTTCATCTACATTAGTTTTCGTCATTATTCAGCAGGTTTGGGAGAAGTCTAAGCACAAAACTGTGCTTACTCTGTCTGCCCTGGTCTACTGTCCGGCTGCTCCCGCCTGCACTGGAGAAGGGGCTGCTGAGGAAGGGCAAAGGCTGGTGGCGTCAGCATCCCGAAGTCTACGGCTGCTCAGCTTTCAGTGGGCTCACCTTCCACTTGCATGCAGACTAGAGCAAAGTGTGGTATTTATAGTCTCCTGGTTTGTCACAGGTTGCTAAGAGCAAAATGCAGAAAATCACAACCCAACAGAGTATGAGGGGATTTGGGGGGGGGGG